AATGTGTACATTTCAGGGATGCTTGTAGGAGCCCATTTAACCATTTTCTCTTTCATCTCTCCTTCTTGTATTTCTGAGGCATAGCGGTTTGTTTCCTCAACAATTTCTCAGACAACATCTTCTGTGAGGAACATTTTAAAACGGTTGACCTCACTGGGGGATTCTGGAGGATTTTGCACTCCACACAGTTGGTCATCGAAATCCCCTGGACCTGGAGGATTAAATAGGTTTGTTACCTTCCAGGAGTTTATCCCGTCTGCCTCAGCAAAAACATGGGTGGGCGTTGTGGAAGTCTCTTCCTCTTCAGTTCCGTCAAGAGCTTCAAGGTTTGAGGGAAGATCCTCATTGCTGTCACTAGTCGCGTTTCCATTTCAGATTTGCACAAAACTTTGGCGATATTTTATAAATGTCGATAAAAAAGTATTGCGAAATGATGGCGTTTCCATTAACCAATGTTATGAGACTTAAACGTAACCTTTTGCCTCTCGCGATAAGTCATGGCAATGGATTTTGGTGGGATTTTGGCTATATTTATTCAAAGGAGGCTTATGCGTGTATCTTTACAGAAGCAGCAAAGAGAGCCGCTTCAGAAACGTGCGTGGCACGGCTGGAATAAACCATAGACTGTATAAAAACATAAACACAAGCAGTGAGTGGCCGTAATCAGCTTCAGTGACCGTATCAGAGCCACACTGCACCGCAGACGTGTGCAGTGTAAATTGTCTAAGCATTACTAGTAGGGAAAGCCCCTTATACCGGAGCGCGGCCACTTATGAAGTGTTTCTTGGAGGTTATAGTACATTGAAGAATGATCATATGACTTTTTGCATACGCCATGCGACCTGTAAATGCGAAAAAGCAGTTTCCATTGCCGTTTTGCGAATTATTACTTTTTCGCATTGCCTGAAAAACCACCTCATGCGAGCGTAAAAACTTTTTTGCGATATATGGGCGTTTTTGCGAAATTGAAGCGTTTCCATTAGGTGTATTTTCAATTCGCAATTTCATTTTACGCAATTTGAAGGGTAATGGAAACGCGGCTACTGTCTGCCTCACTGTCAAAATCCTCATCAGAATTTTAAAAAATCACCACAATTTCCTCGTTTGTGAATTTTATTCTTTTAAAATGATTGTCAGACATCTTTACTTATTTAAATAATGAAAAGCTGTTTTGAATTTATGTAAATTTGTTTATCAAATAAGGCGAGGCCAGTGTGAGGTAAAAGTGACGTCAGCTTGAGGTCACACTTGGCGGGAACAAAAGACTGCAATGCATGCCTGTTTTATATCTTTTATTTTTTATACAAAATAAATATATGCAAGTCAACTCCTGTTAGTTGATCGGTAAGTTATCATGGGCTATGGGCGCCACCATTATTTGTTTACAACTGTCAGAGTAGAAGCCGCCTGAATTTACAACGCACAAGATCACCCACTCCTCCCGAAAAAACATGTTGCTGGCAAACTGGCAGAGGAATAGACATAGCTATATCTATATCTGTTTGATGTCAATAAAACATTGCGTTATGTTTGAAAGGTTATTTTGCCTCCGTTGTAGAGATCAGTGTTAGATTACAAAATACATATAGTTTTTTCCTACTATTTGTGTGACTATGTAATGTAATTTAAAATGTATAAAAAATAAAATAAACATGCTTAAAAACACTGAAGGCGTCCGTCTCTGGATCAGTGCCAATCAAAGCGGGAAAGCAGATTTGAATTGAGCAGTTGATGACGTGACACTCTGAACGTTCTAATCACACCGGTGTGATCGTACGCATCAAAGGGTTAAAACTACTAGAGAACATGAAATGCTTACTTCCAGCATATATATTGGGCATTTCATAACAGGTTCATATGTTTGATGGTGGCATGTCATTTAATTGGACAAGTGTAAAAATAATTAAAATAAATACACTGATAAAACAAATATTAATGTTGCACTTTGAGAGGGGCACTGACTCTAGACTTATTAAGTGGGCTGTGGAGTTTCATGGACAACTATACAAAGACACAATTGGTAGTTATTTTCAACATATCATTGGACAACATAAATCAAAAGGTGGACAGTTCAATTCTGAACAATACCTCTGACAAGTGTGACACTGTTTTGTTGTTTTCTGTATTTCTATGCACTTTTGTGATTTAAGCGTGTGAACTCTTAACTTTTTTTTATGCATCAAACGATAAACATACTGTATATGAAAAGACAGGAAAAAAAAGAACATCTACAGGAAGAATTATATCAAATCTGCTTGTAAAACTTCACAAACCAAATTAAATAAAATTAATACAAAAATAAAATTAGTAGGGATGGGCGTATCGATCCGAAGTATCGATATATCGATACTGACGCGAGTATCGAAAGTATCGATACTCAAACTAAAAATATCGATACTAAAGTGTGTTTTATTTACCAGTGATTTTGTTTACTTAAAATAATAATAATGCGTACAAATGCATTGAATTGGATGAATAGCCTTTGTTAGCGAGTAATTGTGTAGGATAGAACTATTTTCCTGCTCATCTGAACACACGCAAATGTTGCAAGACAGAACCGATCAATCACAGAGAGCGTTCACTCACTTCTGACAGTGCATTCAAACAGGGCTGCGTTTCCCAAAAGTATCATAAGAAAGAAACCAAAATAAGTGGCATCGCCCATCCCTAAAAAGGAGTTTTAAAGAAAAACTAATAAATATCAAATGAAAAAAGAGATAACAATATAAAACACATACAGAGGAAAACGTATGCATCAGTGGTACAACCCCCCCCCAC